CTGTGTTGTTCCAGACGCCGCCATGGGGCACGCCGTGCTTCTGGGTCGTGATAGCTGGATGCGCTTCAACTCTCGCGTATTCACCACCCTCCCCCACCCTGGACCGGACGGCAGGGTTATGGGCGAGCTCACGCTCTCTCCGCGTTTTACAGCTGGCGCTTGCGTTTACGCTGCACACGACGACGCTCCTACCTCCTCGTTTCACCTTAAAAATGCAGGGAGCTCGGGAATTTCTTTGGGGCCGGAGCCTGCACTCGTTGAGGTGGACCTCGTTCGTTCTTCTGGCATGCCTGAGCTGATTGGAGAGTATCTATCTGGTATCGTTCAAACCCGAAGTGGGTGCGCTTTCGTCCCCAGATGCGTTCGTTTCCAATGGTCTCCAGCGTATTCCCCTTGCAGGTTGTGCCGAGCTCGAGCCGGGAGACGTAATTGGAGTGTCTGCCGCGCCGCTACTACGAGTACCGGTGGAAACCCTGAAGGCGGCACCATCTTCGATTCCTACCGGCCCCACAACATCTACATCACCACCTCGGGTCAACGCCGTTGGCCCCAAGTCCGGGACTCACCGCTCTCTGGACCCAGCCTCCTCCCCGCCTCCTCCGAAGCCGCCTCCACAAGAACTACTTGACCGCTTCTCTGAGGCACAGCGCTCCAGCTTCATGCGCTTGTGGGCTAGGCTGCCCGCACATATGCACGACATCGCTTTCGATCTACACAATCCGGGATGGACACCGGAGGCTATTGATCGTTTGGCCGACGCCCTTGTGGAGTATTCTGACGTGTTCTCTACTTCGAAAACCGACTTTGGGTCCTGCATCATCATGCCGTTCACGCTTTCTGTCCCAGCAGGGACGAACCCCGTTGCATCACGCCCGTATCGTATCAACCCGTTGATGCAAAATAAAGTGGATGCCGTTTTGGACCAGTATTTGGCGGCAGGGCTCATTCAACATTCCACATCTCCGTGGGCTTCTCCTTTAGTTGTCATCCCCAAGAAGGACGGATCTGTTCGCATCACCGTCAACTACAAACGTCTCAACGCTCTGGTGGATTTGGATGGACAACCTCTCCCTCGAGTGGACGGTATCTTGGATTCTCTGTACACCGGGAAAGTGTTCTCCATCTTCGACCTCAACTCGGCTTTCCACCAGATCGTTTGTGATGAAGACACTGTCCCGCTCACCGCCTTTTGCACTCCCACGCAGTTGTTCGAATGGCTTCGGATGCTGCAGGGCGCCAACGCAAGTCCGTCTTGGTTCGTCAAGGTCATCAACAGAGTGGTGCACGGTCTGGAGCGTGTGCTTGCTTATCTGGACGATGTCATCTGTTTCGATGAGGAACCTCTGGGACACGTGCTGAACTTGATCGAGTTCTTCAAACGACTGCGACAGTACAACCTCAAACTGTCTCCAGGGAAGGCTCGCGTCGGCGCCACGCACGCCAACTTTCTCGGTCACACCATCTCTCCGGCAGGTGTTAGCCCTGATGGCGTCAAGGTTAGGGCGCTCACGCACATGCCGCCGCCGACGAATGTTAAGCAGCTTCGGAGCCTTCTCGGTGGACTCAGCTACTACCGGAAATTCCTCAAGAATCTCGCCACCAAGGTGCGGCCTCTCAACTCTCTTCTCAAACAAGGCGTCCCCTTCAAGTACACCCCGGGCATGGTCAAGGTTGTCAAAACGTTGTTAAGCGAACTCGCTCGCCCCCCGATTTTGGTCTTCCCGGATTGGGCAGCAATCGAGGACAACAGCCGTCCTCTTCGTTTGTGTTCCGACGCGTGTATCGACGGTTTTGGCGCCTCCTTGGAACAAGAACAGCTCGATGGCTCGGTGAGACCCATCGTGTACATCAGCCGCGCTACTCTTCCTGCGGAGCGTAACTGGACCGTTTTGGATCTGGAGGCTGGTGGCATTGTTTGGGCCATCAAACGCCTTCGCGGTTATCTGTGGTCGACCAAGTTCATCATCTATTCGGACCACAAAGCATTGGAGAGCATTGGCAAGGTTGGGGAACACAACGCTAGAGTGCAACGATGGCTGGAATTCCTGTCCAACTTCACCTACACCCTGAAATATCGGAAAGGTTCGGCAAACGGCAACGCGGATTTTCTTTCGCGGTTGCCTTTACCAGCACAAGACACGGACAAAACCGGCCCCGACTGCATTGATGGTGTCGATCAAGCGGGTGTTTTCCTCATTTGGGCTTGCGGGCGCAACTATCACTCGTCGTCTACACCGGAGGTCGGTTTGGGTGGGCTCCGCCCTCCTTGCACGGCAGGAGTCTTTTCGCCCCCAGCGTTGCAGCCCTCCGATTTTGGGGATTTTCGCCGACATCACCCGCGTCGGGTGGATGCTCTGACGGACTCAAAGATTGCCTGCGAAAATTCTCAGCGGTCCCCGGGGGTCTTCATCGTCTCGCCTGTTCTCGCATCTTCAGGGCCTGCTTCCTTATTGACTTCGGATGCGTCCCGCGTGATGTCTCCTGTCGCGTCTTTGGCGACTAGATATGTGCACGTTTTGTCTTCGCTTCCGGAGCAGGGACCGCTCATTTCTTCACGGACTCGGGCCAAAACTACCGCTGTTTCCGGAGGCACCGTCACCGGTCCCGCTTATTTCGGACGCCAGCCGCGGGCTACCATCGTCCCTCGGACATCGTCGCCTGCCCGTCGCTCTAGCAGGTCCCGCTCGACAAACAAGACCACCCGGACCGCCGCGCGTCTGCTGCCGCCATCCGCAACGCCGGCATCAGCGTTTTCGTCGACTGCTCTTGCGCCACCGGTGTCTTCGCCGTCAGCGGCGACCCCTGCATCCCCGACTTCGCCTTCTCTACAGGTTTCGCCCGGGACTTCGCCACTCACAATGTCCCCTTCGCGGACATCACCCCGGACTGCGGCTGCCCCAGTCGCTGAGGCTTCGCCTTCTTCCGCCTCTTCCATTGGATCGCCTGACTTCTTTTCGGAATCTTCTGATTTGGACACCTCCCACTTGCGGGCTTGTGTTCAGAGTTTCAGCACTGTGGACTGGGCTAGGGAACAGCAGCGGGAGAGCGAGTGTGTGGTGGCTATGCGTTTTTTGTCTTGCGGTTCTCCCTCCCCACCCCCTCCGGGCTTGCTCACTCTCTGTGCTCCTCTTCGCTCCCCTCGGCTAGATGATGTGCTTGTGTTGGCGGCAAAAACCAGCATGCACACGACCGATGACAACATCACCCTCCTCGTACATAAATCGGCGACGTCGCCGGTTGGGCGCTCTGGCGGCAGGACCACTCGTCTGCCGGATACTGGCGTGCCCCGTGTCTACGTGCCAATGCTAATGCGTCCGTGGGTCCTTCATGCATGCCATACGGCCGCGTCATTCCATCTCGGCGTCCATCGTACACAGCGTCTGCTCGAGCGCTTCTACTGGTGGATTGGTTTGGATCGTTCCGTGCGCTGGTGGCTTCGGGCGTGTTTGGTGTGTCAAGCTCGCAAGACTTCACGTCAGACTGCTCGGTGGCCCGTCATCGCTATGCCATTGCCGCAGGGGCCTGGTACGGTCGTCGGCGTCGACTTCTTCGGACCTCTGCCAGTGACTGCCAAGGGCAACTCCTACATTTTGTTGTTCACAGACCGTTTCAGTCGGAGAGCTGACATGTTTGCAGTTACAGCGGCGGAATTAACGGCGAGAGGGACAGCTCACATCTTCGTCAACCAATACATGACCAAGTGGGGATGTCCGACTACGTTATTGTCGGACAACGGACTGCATTTCTGCTCGAAGCTCTCCATGGCGATCTACGAGGTGATGAAGATCAAGAAGGTCACCACCAGCTCCTACCACCCACAGACCAACGGCGGCACTGAACGCGTCAACCACACGATGGCCCAGATGCTTGCGGTGGTCGTCAACGAACAGCAAAACGATTGGGACATACATCTCCCGCACGTTGAGTTTGCCTACAACAATTCCGTGAACCAGTCTACTGGATTAGCGCCAAACGAGATCCACATCGGACGCATCCCGCGACTCCCGCTTTCGGTCTTCGATCGTCCCACGGTAGGTGGTCATCAAAGCTTGGCCCGCGATCAACTCGAGTATTGCAACCTGGCTGTCGATCGCCAGCGCCGGGCCTACGAACTTGTCCGTGAGTACAACGCGCTGAAGATTTCGCGAGTCGAACGCCGAAATTCATCCCTGCTGGACGCCATTCACATGCTCCCACAGTTTACCGTTGGCGGGTGGGCTTGGGTGAACAACACGGCTGCTACAATTCGACAGGGTGTACAGAAGGACACTGACCAACAGGTGATCAAGGACAAATTCGCACTTTCCTGGACAGGGCCCTACAAAGTTCTTGCGGTGGGTC